AATCAGTTTCGAAGAATATGATTAAATATCAATAGGCAATCAATATGACATAAGTTGCGTGTTTTCTTTCAGGAATAAACACTAATTTAAAATAGTATGTACTTCGAAACATGTGCTACTTCGGGAGCATGTTGTATTTTAATATTGCTTCTTCAAGAGCAATATGTCAATATTCTTCTGGAATATTGAAAAATATAATTTCTACTCTTCAGGAGCAAATAATATTCTTCTGGAATATTAATTATAATGTTGTGATACTTCAAGAGCAACAACATGATATACGTTTTAAAGTTTATACAAAAATAATAATAAAATATTAATGTAGTTAGAATAAAAAGAGTATTCATTAAATATATATGTGAAAGAATCATGATTTAAGCATGATAATATATTACTACTAAGCCAAAGATTTGTACAGAATTTAAAAGCATGATTAATTAAAGCATAATGAAAAAAAAAACTAGGTATACCTAATTATTGCGGCGTCAGTTAGGGTAAAAATGTATATATAATTAAAAGAAATTGAATTAGCAAATGTAGGGTTCACCAGCAACAAATTGTGGAGCATAGAACGTAATCATTAAGGCAGAAGTATTATTTCACATGTAGATGCATATGTATAATGAAAAAAAAAAAGATAATTCTTTGGTCAACACAAATTATTTCACAGGCAACATTCATAAATTGTTTAGGTTTTAATGAGGCGGCTAATCATTATGGGCATTTAAAATTCATACACAAATTATTTGTAGCATAAAAAGAAAATCATGTTGTAGCAGAAACAAAAATCTAGAAAGAAATACTCATGTCACCAAATCGATTTTGGTACATATGAGAGATGATTATGCCAAAAAAAAAAAAACATTCTCTAAACTTTGAAAAATTAAGTTGTCGTGCTGATAATGTGTTATAAAAGAGAGAAAAAGAGAAGAGAATAACAGAAGTCAATAGACTTGTGTGTATTATAATGAGAACCACAACTCTATATTTATAGGGAAGGAATAAGGATACATATNAATGAGAATCAAAACCCTATATTTATAGGGAAGGAATATGGATACATATGGTAATTATATCTAGAGCAGCAGGGGTACAAGTGTCATTCACACTAAACCCTAATTTACTTTCCTTTTACAACAGAAATTGTGTAATTAGTTTTTCAGCCACCATAGAATAATGGGTCTTCTCATAACCATAAGTCTAAGTTTCACAAGGGCAACAAGTCATACCGCATTCAACAGAACAAAAATTTTGGAGGTCGACTTCTAGTGGTCCCAAAAGAATAATAAAAAAAATGATCAATGGAAGTTCTGCAAAAAGAAGGGTCACTGGCAGAAAGATTGTTTTAAGTTTAAGACTTTGTTGGAGAAGAAGAAGTATTTCCGCAGGGGTTCACAAGCAAACGGAGGCCAAGTGAGAATGGAGTAAGCCTGTGCATTGAGAATGAAATTGAAGTGAAGATCGAGTTCATAGGAGTAGTGAATTTATTTTTGGATTTTGGTTTCTCTTTTGTTTTAGAGAAT